TTTAAAGTGTACAGTTCAGGGGGAGGGTATAGCACAGTGGTAGAATGCATGCTCAGCATGCACAAGGTCCTGGGTTCAATCCCCAGTACCTCTATTAAAAATAAATAAATAAACCCAATTACCTCTCACCCCCAAAAATAAACAAAAATAAATAAAGTGTACAATTCATTTTTTTAGTATATTCGCAGAGTTATACAACAGTCACCATCATCAATTTTAGAGAATTTTCATCACCTAAAAGAAACCTGTGCCCATTAGCAGTCACTCCCTGTTTCTCACCATCCTCCTCAGCTCTGAGCAACCATTAAGCTACTTTCTGTCTCTATAGATTTGACCATTCTGGACATTTCATGTAAATGGAATGAGACAGTGTGCAGTCCTTTGTTACTGGCTTCTTCCTCTTGGCATGATGTTTTCAGGGTTTCATCTGTGATGTAGCCTGCATCAGTACTTCATTCCTTTTTATTGTCAGATAGTATTCCATTGTGTGGATATACCACATTTTATTTATCCATTCATCATCTGATGGACATTTGAGTTGTTTCCACTTTTTTGGTATTGTGACTAACACTCCTATGAACGTTCACGTAATAGTTTTTGGGTGAGCATATTATTTTATTTCTCTTGGATATAGACCTAGGAGTGGAACTGCTATATCATATGATAACTCTATTTTTAATCTTCTGAGAAGCCACCAAACTGTTTTCCAGAGGGGCTACACCATTTTACATTGCCATCAGAAGTGTACGGGTGTTTCAATTTCTCCACATTCTGGCCAACACTTGTTTTTAATCTGTCTTTTTTATTATAGCCATTCTAATGGGTGTGAAATCATATCTCATTCTGGGTTTGATTTGTGTCTCCCTGATGGTTAATGATGTCAAGCATCTTTTCATGTACTACCTAGCCATTTTTATACCTTCTTTGGAGAAATACCTATTCAGATCCATTGCCCACTTTTTAAATTCTGTTATTTGTCTTATATTTTGAGTTTAAGAGATCTTTATGTATTCTACATACTAGAGCTGTCTCAGAAATATGATTTCCAAAAACTTTTTCCCAATCTGTGGGTTGTTTTTTTACTTTCCTGATAGTATCCTTTGAAGCACAAACATTTTCAACTTTGATGATGTCCAATTTATTTTTTCTTTTGTTGCTTATTGTTTTAGTATCATATCTAAGAAACCATTGCTTAATCCAGGTCACAGAGATTTATGCCTGTGTTTTCTTCTAAAAGTTTTATAGTTTCAGCTCTTACATTTGGGTCTTTGATTTATCTTGAGTTAATTTTTGTATACCATGTGAGTTCATATGCTGTTTTTGAAAACAAGTTAAAATGATAAATAATCATGAGTTTAAAAATATGCAACTATCTTTGGTTTTACTTGGAAATCATCTTATATTTCACTAAACATACCACTTAATGGAATGAAAATAAACTAGCGAGGCTAATATTTTCAATATTTACTTTAAAAATCCAATAAGCTGAGAATTGTTAGAAAAGGCCTTTGATGTTTTTGCCTTTTAAAAAAATCAACTGCTTTCAATGAAGATAAATGAAACTATGTTTTAACATGCTATATAGGTAATATTTTTAAGATACATTAAAAAAATTTTATTCCCCTATTATCATGATATGGGCTTCAGTTTAACACAATGGTTCTTAATCAGGGATGATTTTGCCCCCCCTCCATGGGACGTCTGGATGTTTGGAGACATTTTGGCTGTGACAACTTGGAGAGGGGGTGCTCCTGGCATCCATTAGGTAGAAGACAGAGATGCTGCTAAACAGCCAAGAGTGCATAAAATAGCCCCCATGACAAGGAATCATCCAGCCCAAATGTTTCTTGTGGCGAGATTGAAAAACCCTACTTTCCCCCTCTGGTTTATTAAGATAAAATTCACATACAGCACTGAATAGGTTTAAGGTGTACAGCATAATGATTTGACTTACATGTATTGTGAAATAATTAACACAATAAGTTTAGTGAACATCCATCATCTCATATAGATATAAAAAAAAACCAAAAAGAAAAAAAATGTGAAAATCAGTGGCCTCTATCAGATATGTTCAAAAAGAGATGTGAGTTTGCAAACCCTTTTCCCCTCAGTAACAACCTTGTGGGTTTCTCCCAACACAACATCGAGCCTTCTGGAGGCCAGAATGTACCCCAGCACCTCACTGCCATCCAAATCCTCTACAGTGACAAAAATCTGATGCCTTGTGGGCATCATTGGGAAAACAGTTGCTTTCCATGCTTAATTCATTTTATGTGTGTGTGTGTGTTCATTTTTTGAATTTTAAGATATATTTAGATAATACAGCCCCCGTTCAACATACATATTTGGGTAACTGATCTCCTGTTAAAAGGGATTTTATCTGATTATAGAATAAGAGCAACAATGGTCAGTAATAATTTGTGAGTGATCACCGTGTCGGGCACTGTGCTGAGCATTATCGAATTTAATTTTCTCAATTCTGAGAGAGGGACAGGAATTATTCACATTTTACAGCTGTAGAAATGGAGGAACAGTGAGATTAGGTGACTTGATCATGTAGCTGGTGACCTCATTACTCTAAGTCAGGGCTTAAGCCTGGTGTGGGGTCAGCTGTGAGGTGCTGGCACGTCACAAAGAATTTGATGACTCATTATGGGTAATCACAGATGGACGTTTGTAGGCCAGTTAGGCTGTTCCCTCACTCAGTTGAGCTACAGTAAATGTACTTACACTGAGTGGACACACAGAAATAGCCACAGGAAATCCCGGCTCACCTGGGACATGCCCACAAGCATGGCTTATTTGTGGACCCTTGTTCATCCTTCATGTCACAGTGGACAGGTCTGAGGACTGCTGCTTCAGGAAAATGGGGACATCTGGGGCACCACTTATGTTCTCAGCTCCCACCCTGAAATCAGTCAAGGCTTGATTTCCTACCTACTGGCTGTCCTCTCATAATTCGCTCTAGCTCCCAAATGTCCCTCCTGACTTGTGGCCTAAATCCATTTGCATGGACACCTGCACCACTCACTCTCTGAGCCCCTGATCTCTGTACAGGGCCCTGCTCACCTCAGCTCTCCCAGAGCGGGGCTCACACTCCTGTCACCTGATCTTGCACCCACTGCTGTGATTGGAACAGCACTGTGGTGTTGAACAGAGGTAAAATATCTTGTACAAAAAATCATACTGCAGCTGAACAGTAGTATTTCCCTCCCAAGCTTTATCCCTCCACGTGCCAGGCACAGAGCTCTCTTCACATACCTGACAGCATTCCCCCCTCAGAGGGGGCTTTTAGGAAAGGATTTGGAATGCAAATGAGTGACTGAAGATATGCATTTGCTGATACCAAGATTGGAGATGTAATGGCCCTCCAATGTTGCCAGTTTAGGAGTGCAGCAAGAAGTGAAGTGAGACTCTGCCCACATCAGCCTTCCCAGTATCCTCCGTGACCTCCCTGAATGACAGGGGTTGAGGAGGGAGCAATGATCAGACTTGAAGATTGTCCCCGTCCCCCTAATCTGAAGAAAGACCCTGGTTTTTGTTCTAAGATTTGGGCAAGTCTTAGAAGTATACTTCTGTTTTTTTTAATTGAAGTACAGTTGATTTACAGTGTTGTGTTAGTTTCTGCTGTAGAGCATAGTGATTCAGTTATAAATATATTTAATGTCCTTTTTCATTATAGGTTATTACAAGATACTGTAGTTCCCTGTGCTATACAGTAGGACCTTGTTGTTTACCTATTTTATATATAATAGTTTGCATCTACTAATCCCAAATTCCTAATTTATCCCTCCCTCCCAGAAGTATACTTCTTTTCAAGAGATGCAGGACACAACAAATTCTCTATAGCATCTTTATAGTTTGGTCCCTATGATGTGTTTTTGTCATATAGCTTTTAGAGAGTACCTGGGAAAATTGTTAGAGCTCTTCACTGAAGCTAATATTTACTTGGGGAAAAAGCCATACTTTAAAGAGCCAATTCATGTGTGTGTTTTGCCTCCACCTCAGAAGTAGGAAGGGTTTAAGTCCACTTGGACCAGGTGTACCTTCATTATTGTGCTATAAATTGTGACCTATTTATTATGCTATGGTACATTACAAAATTTTATCACTTGAATAAAGTCTCAGCTTCCTTTTGAAGGGAGCATGTGTGCACTAGACTATCTCTCAGCCTGCTTGCAACTGTGAACTTCTTTGAACCTCTACAACACTGAGGGCTGAGTGAAAGTGGAGCCCATGTGATTCAAGTCCACCCTGATTAGTAATCTGCTTTAGTAGTGAGCCCACACCTAGAAGCCTGCTCATGTTTGAAGAAGAGAACACAGTGATTAGTTGGTGCTATCTTTCTTGAGAGACCCATCTCCAGGGGCAACGGTCAAAATATTTAACAGGCAGCATGAACACGACAGTCGGGAGGGTAGACAGCAGCTGTAGGGCTGTCCAGGGCTGCAGCCTGAGCACGCCTGGCCCTTCTCGAAGTCCTGCTCAGCTTTCCCTGCTTGTTTTGGGGGTCTGCCTCTTCCTGCCTGATTCTTCACCCTGGGCCCTAACTCAGCCCCCTTGGGCTGCTTCTCTCCCCAAACACTTTATGGACAATGGCTGTGAATACCTTCCTGCATCCAAACACTAACTTAATCATATTTCTTACTCAGCATATGCTCTTGGGTGCCTGCCGTCTATGCTCAGCCCCTGGTCAGTTGACCCCTCACCCCCTTGCCTTTAAAAACATTAGAAGCTGGGAAGCAGGGATGGTTAAGAGACCTGGGCCCTAGCCTTGCTCTGCCCCATCTGCCTGTGACCTTGGGCAAATCCCTGCCCCTCCGGGTTGTTGGTTTCCTTACATGTAAATGAGCAACTTGGACTGATTCACGAGCTCTGAGCTCCGAGCTCCCCGTTGTTCAGTGAAGAGTTTCTGGAGAAATGCGAATCTTCAGCAGCTGACTGCTCTCTCTCTCTCTTTCTCTCTCTCTGTGTCACCGGTCCCCCAACCGCCACTGTAGAATGCACTGCTGCCTGCTGGCCTGAGGCAGAAGGATCAGACCACCAAGGCGCCCACAGGCCCCTTTAAAAGGGAGGAACTCTTGGATCACTTGGAAAAGCAAGCAAAGGAGTTTAAGGACCGAGAAGATCTGGTCCCCTACACAGGGGAGAAGCGAGGTACTGAACAATGTTGTGCTTTTGAATACATCATTCCCTGTGCACTGTTGAGTGCCAGCTGGATGCCAGGCCCTGAGTTGGGCCCGATGTGACTGGGCCTCCTTGCCCTCATCCCTGCTGGGTCCAAAGTCACAAACGCAACTCCAAAAGCATCGAGGCAGGAGGTCAGCATGGTGAAGTCTGGGGGTAAAGCAGACTAGCAACACTTGCCCCTACATCCCCTTTGACTAGGGTGTCCTGTTTATTTTTCATACAAACCTAGATACTGTTGAAAGAAGGAACTATTAAAATGATCTCAGGACATGAGGCACAAACAAGGCCTGTCCCATCCAAACCAGGAACAGAAGATGTCCTGTCCCTACCCTGACTATCCCTGCTCTTTCCCCAAAGTTCCTCTGTCTAGCACCTGCAGCTTCCCTTCCTTCATCTGTCCCTGCAAGATCTCTACTCCAGCCTAAGGCCGGCCATCTAGAAGGCTTCAGGGAGCAGAGAGGCACTCCAACTGTCCAGCCCCTGCTGGACTTCCCTCGTGCTCCAAACCATTCTCCAGTCCTCCTGTATCATGCTTGCCAGCACTCCCTGGGCTGCTGCCCCCCAGGCTTCTTTCTGTTTCCCAAACACTCCAAGCTCTTTCCCACCCCAGACCTTTGCACGTACACCCTCTGCCTGGAATGCTGGTCCTACTGTCAGTTCCATGCTGTCTTCAGGGCTGGCCCTCCCTCCTCTGTAAGAGGCTTCATGGTTAGAAACACAGCCTGGAACTGGATCTCCTTTGGCCATGGTCTTGGCACTGCCACTTACTAGCTGTGTGAACTTGAGTAAATTTTTAAACCTGCTGTGCCTCCATTTCCTTGTCTGTAAAATGAGCTGATGAAAAGAATATTACCAGCCTCCCAAGATTTTTATGAGGTTGTTCTATATATGTAAAGATACATGTAAAGCACTTACAATAGCACCTGGCCCATCATGAAGGCTCTGTCAGTATTAGCTATTATTACCCTTTCGGTCTCACCTGTACCGTCGTCTCCTCTTTCAGGAAAGCCTTTCCTGTCTACACTGTTTAGGATATGCCATCCCTTCAACTCCCCCTTGGTTATTCTCCGTCTCAGGATCCTGGGTGTGTCCTTCAGAGCAATTCTTGTTTTATTATTATCTCTTTATTTACATTGGCCTGAAAGCGCCATGAGGCAGGGACTCAGCTGTTTTTGCTTACACAGAACCCCCAGCGCCCAGCACAGGGCCTGAGATACAGTGGGGTTCAGTAGAGAGTCGTTGAGTGAATGAGTAAGTTCAAATTACATCAATGCATAATGGAGCTTGTGGGCTCCTTCCTTAGAGCATGAGCTCCGTGAGTACGAGCATCGCATCTGTCTTGTTCACGGTTCTGTCCTCGCACCTAACAAACCCTAGCATGTAGTAGGTGCCCAATAAGTGTTTGTTGAATGAAAGCATTTGTTCTAATCAATTAATTAATTGGGCAGTTAATTGCTTGTTTTCAGCCTTTTCCAGTCTCCTCACCCTCAAGAATGTCAGCGTGATGAGCCAAGGGTCCGTGTCTGTGGCTTTTATCTCTGCATCCCTGTTGTATTAGCACAATGCGCTGCACAGGGTAGCACTTTGATAAATAATAAAATGACAGAGCCAGCAGGAGTGAGCATTGTAGGGAGGACTTTAGGCCATCCCAACGCCTGGAACTGGAGTTCAGTCTAGATTTTGTCCAAAACTTGGAAGGTCAGGGAAGCCCGAGAGACATCTGGATTATAGAGCTTTGGAGGAATTGCGTGGTCTGAGGCATCCTGGAGCAGGTGGCAGGGGAAGGGAACCTTGACCATCAGGGCTGGGTGTGCCTGGCTGAGAGTGTTAGCACAAGATGGTTTTAAGCAAGGTTCTTGTTCCATGAGGTATGATTTCTGGGCAGCAGATAAAGATAATAAAATGTCTGGATTTCAGGGAGCCTTAAAACTCCCATTATCCCACCTGCACATTTGAAAACTGGGGAAACCAAGGCTGTGAGAGAGCAGCAGGCCTGGGTGGACAGTGGTGAGTCATGACTGGCATCCCTCATGTACCCATCCCCCTCCCAGGGGATGAGCTGGAGATGGGGGATGGGGAAGGGAATCTGGGCAGTACACAAACCAATCCTGCTGCCTCTTCCCGGAATGCTGCCCTGGACTGGAGCCGGGAAGAGCTTTCCAGACTCCCAGAGCCTGACTGCCTTCATGAAAAACCAGGCTGGCCCAAGGAGGGTAGCTAGAATTTATTCTATTTTCGTATAATGAGAAGCCTAAAAGATTTATCGTTATCGTCATCATCACCACCACCAGCATCATCATCATAAAGTATTTACGTGATGACTTTTGGAGTCCATATATATTGAATGAATGTGGGTCTCAACAGAGAGTGTGGAGAAGGAGAAATTCCAGCTCTAACAGGCAGATTCAGGGCCATTCAGTCCAGCCCTACAGAGCACTTACCCCATGCTGGGCCAAGAGCTATCCTCAGCTGAGGGGAAATAGCAGTCCAGTCACCGCAAGTCTCAGCAGGATGTGGTAGGAGCCATAAACTGGTGCAAAGTTCTGAGGAATTTGGACTTTCACTCACTCTCATTCAAGTGAGGGGATCAGAATAAAGCTCCATGCAGGATATTTTCATTATGCAGATCTGGCTGCATGTGCTAGGGAAAAAAGTAAAACAAAATAAGGAAGACTTAAGATGGAAATTTAGTTTTCTTTCACTTAGAAGAACTGCAGAGATAGGCATTCCAGGGCTGGTAAGACATCTTCCTTGACATTAGGAATCAATAACCTTTCCAGTTTTTCATTCTGCCATCCTTGCAATATATCCTTGCCTCATGGTTCATCTAGCTGCTGAAGCTCCAGTCATCACACCCACATCCCAACTAGAGATGAAGGAAGGGAAGAAGTCTGAGTCCCTCTTGTAGTGTCTTAGAGTCACCACCCTCATGGAGATACCTGCTGCAGGGGTATAATAAACCACAGGTCTCTTAAATATTTACTGAATGTTCATCCTACTAGTCACTGCCTCATTTTCACAGTTCATTTTCTTTTTAGCCATTTTGTTTTGCCCTTTTCCAGATCCCCTCTGGTGAAGGTTATGTTACATTTTTCCCCAGATGACTTTTTTGTCTGTTTTGCTTGTATAGGTAATTGATCTTTGCTGTAAACAATTTAAATAATAAAACAAAGTAATTCAAAGTAATTCCCTCTGCTGAGAGATAGGCACTGATCCCATTTTAGTGAATATTCTTCTGGGCATTTCTCTTTGCACTTCCCACCCTTCCCCACCTCTGGTCCAGGTCACCATCACCTCACCTGGACTTTTGCCAGAGCCTCTTCACCATATCCTGGCTTCCATCCTCACCCCACATCAAGCTATTCTCATCAGCAGCCAAAGTGAGCAGGTTTTTTTTTTTTCAGTTGAAGTAAAATTCTCATAACATAAAATTAACTCTTTTAAAGTGATTCAGTGGCATTTAGTATATTGTTGTGCAATTGCCATCTCTATCTAGATCCAAAACATTCTCATCACTCTGAAATAAAACCCTGTACTCAGTTAACCATTACTCCCCATGCCCCTGCTGGCAGCCACCAATCTGTTTCTATGGACTCACCTATTCTGAATATCTCCCATAAATTAAATCATATAATATGTGACTTCGTGTGTCTGGCTTCTTTCACTTAGAATATTGTTTTCAAGACACGTTCATTCCCTTTTGTTACCAAATAATATTCAAATTCGTCAGTTGACGAACATTTTGGTTGTTTCCACTTTGGGTCTATTGTGATTAATGCTGTAGTGAACATTTCTGTACGAGTATTTGTTTGAGTACTTGTTTTCAATTCTTTTGGGTATATACTGAGAAGTGGAATTGCTGGATCATACGATAATTCTACATTTAATTTTTTGAAGAATTGCCAAACTGTTTTCCAAAGCAGCTGCATCATTTTGCCTTCCTACCAGCAATATGTGAGGGCTCCAATTTCTCCAAATCCTTACTAACACTTGTTCTTTTCCATTTTGGTTTTAGGGTTTTGATTTATAGCCATTGTCATGGTTGTAAAGTGGTATCTCATTGTGGTTTTGATTTGCATTACCCTAATGACCAATGATGTTGAGTATCTTGTTGGCCATATGTACAACTGACCCTCTATATCCACAGGTTCCGTATCCACAGATTCAACCAATAGTGGATCAAAAATACTTGAAAAAAGTTCAAGAAAAATTTAAAAAGAAAAACTTGAATTTACGGCACACTGGCAACTTCTTACATAGCATTTACATTGTATTAGGCATTATAAGTTATCTAGAGATGATTGAAAGTATACAGGAGGATGTACGTAGGTTATATGCAAATACTATGCCATTTTATGAGGCTTGAGCATCCAATCTCCTTTGGACACCAGGAGGCAATTATATATCCTCTTTAGAGAAATGTCAGTTAAGTCCTTCACCCATTTTTAAATTGGATGGTTTTTCTTTTCGTTACTGAGTTGTAAAAGTTCTCTATATAGTCTAGATACTAGACCCTATCAGATGTATCATTGGTGACTCTTTTCTCTTCTGTATGTTGTCTTTACACTTTCTCGATAATGTCCCCTGATACACAAAAGTTGTAAATTTTGATGAAGTTCAATTGGTCTATTTTTCTTTCATTGCTTATTTTTTTGTTGTTGTCATATCTGGAATATGTTGCCAAATCTAAGGTCATAAAGATTTATCTTTGTGTTTTCTTCTCAGAATTTTATAGTTTTAGCTATTTATATTTAAGTCATTGATCCATTTCCAGTTTGCTTTTGTATATGGTGTAAGATAAGGATCCAACTTCATCTTTTTGCATGTGCATATCCAGTTGTCTCAGCACCATTTCTTGAAAAAACTATTCTTTTCCCCATTCAGTGGACTTGGCACCCTTGTCAAATTTATTTCAGGACCTTTAATTTTATCCTCTTGAGATATAAGGTGATAGGCCTATCCTTATGTTAGTGCCACACCATTTAACTTTGCAGTAAGTTTTGAAATCAAGAATTCTGAGACCTCCAACTTTGTTCTTTATCAAGATTGTTTTGACTGTTTAGAGTCCTTTGCAATTCCGTATGAATTTGAGAACTAGATTTTCCATTTCAGCAAAAAAAAAAAAAGCCATTGGAATTTTGATAAGGATGGCATTGAATCTGTAGATTGCTTTGGGCAGTATTGCCATTTTAATATTGTCTTCCAATCCACGAACTCTGGGTATCTTTCTGTTTATTTAGGTCTTTTTAAATTTCTTTCAGCAGTGTTCTATAGTGTTCCATGCAGAAGTCTTTCACCTCCTTGATTAAATTTATTCCTAAGTATTTTATTCTTTCAGATGCTTTTGTAGATGAAATTGTCTTCCCAATTTCCCTTTCAGCTTGTTCTTTGCTGGTTACACCACTTATTTTTGTATGTTAACCTTTTTTTTTTAAATTGAAGTACAGTCAATTTATAATGTGTCAATTTCTGGTGTATAGCACAATGTCCCCAGTCATGCATATTGTATGTTGTTCTTGTACCTAGTGTTTTGTTTTTGGGGGGTGTTTTTTTTGCAGAATCACTAGGTTTTCTGCATATAAGATCATGTCATCTGCAAAAAGAGATGATTTTACTTTCTTTCCAGCCTGGATGCCACTTACTTCTTTTTCTTGTCCCTTTGCTCTGACTGGAACTTCCAGCACAATGTTGGGTGGCAGCAGTGAAAGTGGGCGTCCTTGTTGCTGATCTGGGGGGCTTATTTCCTCACTCTGTCAGGTCCCAGCTCACAGGTCATCTTCACTGATCACCCTACTCAAAATAGCAGAGCCCGCCTTCCCCACCCCACCAGCCTGGAACTTCGGCTCTGCTTTGTTTTCCTTTGTGATGCTTAGTGCTATCTGACATCTTTACATGTTTGTTTATTATCTGTCTCCTTTCACTAAACTGCAGTCTGTTCACTGCTGTTACCCTGGCGCCAAGAAAGGTGCCAGGCACTCAATAAATACGTGTTGTATGAATAAATATATACATGTACAATCTTTCATAAATGGACTTAAATAATTCATGCTGTTTTGTAAACCTGCTTTTTCAAAACACAGCGTTGTGTCTCGGATATTTTCCTTTGTTAGTAAGCAGAGATCGCCATCATCCTTTATATTAACAACTGCTGGGACGCCATTGTGTGAGTGCCCCGTAATTTCTCCAACAACTCCTCTGGGTGAATGCTGCCTGGCCATCCTTGTGCATGCCTGTTGCTCCATTGTTCATTTACGACTCTGACACTTTAGAAATATGATGTCCCAGAAGACATTATATTTTCACCCTATTCCTCTTTTAATAACCTGAGTGTATTTTATTTTGTTTTAAAATGTTTCTGAATTTTTCACTCATGCCAGAACCCTTTTTAGAGTATCCCAGACCCTGACATTCTATTATATTTTTCTATTGTATTTTTCCCCACTTACAAATTGTTGCAACGAATGACCAGTGTTTTCCATCACAAGCAGTCCCACTTGACCAAGTTATAAAGTTAATTTTTTCAAATGTGAAGGGTGATTTGTTGGAGATCTCTGAGTCCCTTTCTTTGGGCGAGTCTGGTCTCTGTCCCCAGAGGGAGACACTTTAAGGAAGTCTCAGCATCGAGGGATCACAGGGCTCTGGGACGGCTCACCTGGGGCTGTCACCAGAGGCTGCCCAACATGGGCACCCTGTAATGGGAGCCTGTGTGTTTTCAGGAAAGGTCTGGGTCCCCAAGCAGAAGCCAATGGACCCTGTGCTGGAAACTGTAACGCTGGAGCCGGAGCTGGAGGAGGCCCTGGCCAACGCCTCAGACGCAGAACTCTGTGACATCGCAGGTAAGAGGTGTTCCTGATCTTCCCCACATCCTCCAAAAGGCTTGGACTCGCATTTGCAGGGGAGCCCTGGATCATTCATTATAAGATAAACACCCTCTCTGTTTCTAATGAGGACTAGAGGAAATCTATTATCTACTATCTAAATCTAAATCTATTATCAAAAACCGAAATGAGGGAAATAGAGATAAAACCACCCAAGCTCATCCCACCACGGAACCACCTGTAGAGGCCATGAGACCCCATCCCAGAGGGATGTGCCAGTATCCCAGGGAGGGCAGCCTGGGCCCTTTCCGGCCATCGCATCCAATCCTGCCCAGGCTGCCTGGGAGGAGAGGTTAGAGGGGGCAGACAGAGGGCTGGGAGGCTCACAGAGGGTCAGAGCAAGTCGTCTGATTTTACCACTTTGAACAGCTCAGAGAGCTGGGCTTTGAGGTCATCACCCAGATCTCATATTTGTACAACACCCTCCATCTTCCTGTGCATTTCCATGTGATCTTCACAAGCAACACCTAAAACTCCCGAAGGTGGCCTGATATCCAGGGCCCTTTGCCACTTGCATTTGTCCCCTTGTTACTATCTAGTACCTACCCCACTCGCCCGTGTCCCTTACCCATCAGGGGTCAGGCTCTGGCCACAGCCTGCACACCATCACGCTGTGCTCGCTGGCCAGTGGGGCAGGTAGTGGTCTTTTTATTATTCTGCAGTCTTGGGGGATACCAACCCTCAGCCAGATGATGAAAGGGGAGTAGATGGGGTAGGGAGAGACTCAGGCAAGTGGGAAGGGGTTGGGAAACACAGGGTCGACTATGAGGTCAGAGAGGAGCCCAGATCTAGCTCCAGAGAGTAAGTGGATGTCGGTACCATTAATGCAGGTGGGTGCGTTAGTCTGCTCAGGCTGCCCTCACAAAATCCCATGGGCTGGTGGCTTAAACAACAGAAGGGTACTTTCTCACAGCTCTGGAGGTTTGAAGTTCATGATCAAAGTGTCCACAAGTTTGTTTTCCTCTGAACCCTCTCTCCTCAGCTTGTGGATGACCATATCTCCCTGTGTCCCTCTGTGTGTTCTAATCCCCTCTTGTAAGTACACCAGACAGATTGGATTAGGATCCACCCTATAGCCTCATTGTAACTTAATCACTTCTTTAAAGACCTTATCTCCAAATATAGTTCCAGACATTTCCTTATTCTACATATGAATTTTGGGGGGACACAGTTCAGCTGTAGCAGTGGGTGGAGGGGTGGGGAGCAGGTGTAGGGAAATACGGAGTTAGTCTAGGACCTTTGGAGTTAGAGATGCCTGTGGGCCACTCAAGTGGGAGCAGTTGGAGTGGAAGTCTTGAGGTCTGCAAGGGGAGATGGAGAGGTGGGTGTCATTAGCATCATCAAGCTGCAGGTGGAGTCAAGGGCCCTAGCCGAGGGAGAAGCCTTTGGGAGACAAGGAGTGGAAATAGGGTAACAGTAGCCACAATGGGGGCCAGTCAGCCACAGATGGGCTGGGAACCAAACACTGAGTCAAGATGGGCAGAACCTAATGCAAGAGCTAGGGAGACTGAATGAGGGTTCTGGGCCGGCTGGAGACTCAAGTGTGTGAGCCCAGGGGCCAGGTGAGGGGACTCTGCCAGCCGCAGGTGTGTTCTGCCTCTCACACCCTCCTGCTTCTTGTGGGTGTTGTGCACGAGTCTTGACAACATTCCTGGGGGAGGAGCGGGGGGTGGCCAAAGCCAGGTTTCAGGGACCTAAGGGGTGCATGAAGAGAGCCGATGTGTAGACACTCCATCCAGATAACCCTGAATGGAGGCAGGAATTTTGGGAAAGGACAAAGGGCAGTGGCTTCAACGGTGTCAGGGTTGAGAGAGAAAGGTATTCATTTTCACTATGAAGGACAAAGCAGTGAGGATTTCACCAGGTTGGAAGTGGAGCACTTAGCTCAGGTGCTTAGCTGGTTTGCTCGGCCATTCAAGATTTGTTTTGTCTAAAGCCACACAAGTCATATTAGATCCCACTTGAGGCTCGTGTATTTTGACGGAACCGTCTCCCTGATGCAGGGTCCCCTTGACTTCTAGTTAATCAGTGCAGCAGGGAGGCGGGTGGGTGACATGGTTGTTGTCCAGCATCTCCACACTGACTCACCCTGGGGGCTGCTGGTGTCCTGGTCCTTCTCCGATCACTCCGCATGACGTCACTCTCCTCATTAGGCAGCTCGGAGGGATTATCAAATGACTCCACTGTTGGAACCGCCAGTTCCTGTGCCAAAATAGAATAGCAATATTGTGCTACGTTTCTGAGTGGATTTCTTGAAGCCGTTCCTCTTTATTTTTGTTGGCATGGCTAATTATTAGTATCTGTTCATGATACCATACCCTTCCAATGTCCGGAAAGGAGAGGGGTGCTGTAAGGCGACACCGGCGTTAACTGGCTAACCTTGGACGCCTGTTATTGAATGTCAGCATTTGAGAGGTGGCAGTGGAAGGAGGTGCAGAACATTTGCTGACTCCCAACTATGTGGGGGCTATGGGAGTTGCTTTCAATACCTGGCTGTATTTATTGACCACAGCAATCCTATGAAGTACATTTTACTGATGCCCCCATTTTACAGATGGAGAAAGTAAGCACAGTGGATTAAATGCCTTGCCCATGAGGTTGGAACCCAGGAGACATCTTGGTTCTAGGGCCCACTTGCAGCATCACCTCCCAGTACAACCGGGATAAAGCCCTCCAGAGCAGGGGAATGGACGCAGTGGGATGAGAAGGGGTGCGTGGCCGAGTTTTACTGAGTCGGCTGGGGGAGGATAGGGCCGAATTAGAAAAGGATCTGGATGTCAAGCTAAAGCACTGACACCCGAGCCTAGAGGAGTATTGGGAGAGACCAGGTGAAAGCAGGGGTTTGAGCCTAGAGGCGGTGGTGTTCCGAGGATGGGAGGATGTAGGAAGCAGGCCCCAGGTAAGGCCAAGGGCCCAGGTGGACTGTGTCTGGGATGTGGCTCCAGCGAGAGTCCAGCTGTTCCCAGTGCTGGATTAGAGGCTAAGAGGCTGAGATGACGCCAGACTTTCCGGCCTGAGGCCCCAGGAAACAGCTGGGTGCCTGGGGTACAGGAGGAGAGCTGCTCTGCTGTGAGTCAGTTTCAAAGATGCCACAAGAGACCGGGGCGATGGAGACTGGACACTTGCCTGAGTGCTGGGTGTGTTGGAGGGAGGGAGGAGCCTTTCTCGAGGAGGGAGTAGCTGGAGCCATGAGCGGAGGACTCATTAGAGAAAGAAGAGGAGGTGTGTTGGGTCATCTCTAGTCCTTGCAACTCGACTCCCAGGCAGAGCAGTCCCATTAACTTAGCCTTCGTTTGCTCAGGACTAATTGTAAGCAAACAGCCGGGTTCTTGCCCTTGCAGAGCTGTTAAACAAACACTGAGGCCAACATGAAAGGACAAGTGAGAGTGAGTGTTGAGTGAGTGTCATAGGGAAAAAAGCAGAGTGCAGGAGGGGGCTTGTTAGGTGGTGGGGCTGCAAGATGAGGGTAGAGACTGAAGCTGAGCCAAAAGGAGGAAGAGTGGTGAGAGCTAGGGGAGCAGGAAGGGGCGGCGGGAGGGGGGTCCATTCCAGGGAGGGACACAGTGGGGAAGAGGCTCTGAGCTGGGGAAGAGGTGGCTCCTCTGAGCCGTTGCTTTGCAGGTGCACGTGCATCAGGCTTGATACTTGGAGACAATGGGGACATGTAGGAGGACACCCAGCAGATGTGTCACACTGAGCAAGACCTGTGAACTCTCACTTGCTCATTTGTTTTCTTGTTTGTGCATCATTCATGCACTCATTCATTCACTCAGAGTCAAGGTACATAGCTAGGATGAATCAGATCCAGTCCCTGACTGTGGAGGCCTGGGATGTGATGATGAGGACAGACCAGAAACATGAAAAGTGTTGAGTGTGGGTGATGAGCAATGCACCTGCCCCTGACAGTGCTAAATCCTTGGCATGTGGCCTTGGGTTGTAGCTCGGAGGCCACCAGGAGTCAGCTGTAGGCACGTGTGTGATCAGTGCCTCCCCTCCCTAGTCAGGGATGTGACCCTGGCTCACCTTAGGGACCCTGCAGGCGGGGCAGGACCCAAGAAGGAATTGGGGTTAAGGAGACTCACCCTTCAGAATGGCCAACCCCTAGGCTACCCCAGGGCAGCTGGCACGCCCAGAACTTGTGACTATCAGAGACAGTCTTAGCCAGACCACCCCGGCTTCTGGAGTACCTTCCTGTCCTTAGGCACCTCTTCTCCACCTGTTCTATGAGGGTCAGGGTGTGGCTTATCCAGGAGCAGTTGATTCAACTGCTCCCAAGTCCTGGGCCAGAGCCAGCTTCTCTCACCTGTTCCTAGGATGCAGGAAAACGCCTTCCTGCCGCCTGCCCCGAGCCACTTGGCAGCTGGAGAAGCTAGGGTTGTGTACCGCTATCTCTCTGTGTCCTAAGAGGAATTACCAGCTGAATGAACCCTGCCAAGGCAGAGAGAGAAAGGAGTACTTGATGTTCTTTTTCAGAGTTCAAAAATAGTCCTTTTTGAGTTTTGAGGAAGATCTAGACTTTTTTTTTAAAAGAAATCACATTCCCCAGTGCTAAATTCAGCCCTGCCAATATCTACAAAGAATGAAGCAGCAGTGATGTGCTGTTTCTCTCCATCACTCACTCCTGGTGACGTGGAGTGTACCAAACCAAGCAAGCAGAAAGTCATGACTTGGTGCCTAGGGTGGGAGAAGGGAAAACTGGCTTCGGAGCCACCAGGCATTCTGCTCAGCAGTGGAGAGTGAGCATGGCCCTTCCCTCCTCCTTCCTTCTCTCCCTCCCTCCTCCGTCCATCCTTCTTAGAACCCTAATCTCCTCTGCAAAATGGTTTTCTTTCTTTTTAGGCCTGCTATTGACATACATTACCTCCTAGAATATATGTTGTCTGTCCTTAGAATTCTGACATTGAGGGAAAGTTTTAGAACTTTAGACCTGTTGGTGACCTAGTGTGTGGAGGCATGGGTGGGAAGACTGACTTAGAAGCCAGGAGGGTCCTCGCCGAACAGTCTTTGACTAACCATTTCCCTCCCGAGCCTGCTGGAAAAAGGGAGGTCAACAGCACCCGCCCTGGATGCTTGTTGTAAAATCAAACAGCATGAAAAGGTGAGAAATTGTCATGTGGCTATTAAGTCCCACGTGAAGGTAAGAGATCATCGTTCAAACACTCTCCATGTTACAGGTGAGAACCCTGAGGCCCAGAAAGTGGAGGTGGCCTGGACAGCAAATTAGTACCAAGACTGGAGCCCATGTCTCCTTCCTCTGTCCCCTGGCACTTCCTTGTAACCTTCTCGCTCCTGCCCCCACTTTCTGGATCACTATGAAAAGCTATCATCCAAGCACAAAATGCATTTTCCATTTTCCACCTTTCTAAGCACTCTAAGCAAGACCAGCTTGCCATATGAGGTTACATCTTTCCTTTGCTTCCCAGCAACTTTTCCAAACCTGGATCTCAGTAGCAGCCCAGAACAACCACCAAAGCCGCTCTGTGTAGGAGCTGGAAGAGCCAGCTCCAGAAGGTGACTCGAGGTGATCTGATTCACCTGCTGCTGACTCAGGGCTCAGCTCCCACTGCCCACGTAGACGCAGCCTAAATTAAAGCCCAGGGAGCTCAAAAAAGTGCAGATGCCTCCCTCCCTACCAGTTCTCCTTAGCGATGAGCAGGCAAGTCTAATTTTAGAAGAGAAGACTCTTAGAATGTGAGAAACAGAAGAGACTTTGAGATCATCTTGTCTTGTGGTACTTTGCTCCTACTAAGCATCAAAAATCATCCAAGGAGATTAAAAATATATCTCCAGAGAGTCAGATCAGTTCATCCAGGAGGAACACTGTAGTGCCCTGGAGCTCCCGGGCGATTTGTATGTGTAGCCATGATGGAGAACCCATGGTGTAGTCTCGCCCCTCATTGCACAGAGGAGGCTAAAGCCCAGACAGGGGAGGGGACTTACCCAGGTTTACACCCATCAGGGGCAGAGACAGGCCTGGAACTTGGGTCTCCTGACTCTTCCCTAAGGACTCTTTTCTCTAACTAGACATCGTGTCTAATGAAATGACCAGGGGAATTTTTTTTTAAATGAGCAGATGTTTATCAAATACCATATTCTGGAAGAGGTAGAAGAGAGAGAATATTCTCTGACCTCTGGAAGCCCACAGTCCAGTAGGGGAAGCACAGATATGTCCAGGTAGCTCTAACACTGTGTAGACTATGTACTGTGATAAGGAGAGCAGGTGCTGTGAGAGCTAGAGAGGGAGAGGTTGGAATCCAGGAGCACTCCCTGAGGGAGGAAGCATGGCTCCAAATCTTGAAGGATGGGGAGGGAGAGTTGTTAAATCAAATACAGGATGCTCCACTGGATGTGAATTTCCGATAAACAATAAATAAGTTTCTAATATAAATAGGTCTCAAATACTAAATAGGATGCACTTATACTAAAACATTGTTCTTTGTTTATCTGAAATTTCAATTTAACTGGGCATCCTGTATCCTGGGACATCATGGAGATATCTAGGAATCTGAGGCTGGGGACTAGAGAAGTCTAGGCTGGAGACAGAGATTCAAGAGTTACGTCAATAGAGGCAAGAGTAAAAACTGAATAAAATTTTAAAGTCTACCTGCAAGTGTTTCTTGCCCCTTCTGTGAGCAAAACCTCCTGGGGTGTGGAATGTTCCCGCCCAGGAGGCCCTTTGTCTGAGAGGTGTGTCATGGGCCCTCTCCGTGTCCCCACAGCTATCCTGGGCATGCACACGCTCATGAGCAACCAGCAATACTACCAGGCCCTGGGCAGCAGCTCCATCGTGAACAAGGAGGGACTCAACAGTGAGTACCCGGCCCCTCCCTGCCCCAGCAAGGGCGCCGTGGAAGTGCAGCGTCCTCCCGCATCTGGCTGCCTCTGCCCACTCCTGCTCTCCGGCTCATTGCAGAAGATTTCAAATTCATTGGAGCCAAATCTATCCACCTTTTCCTTTTCCTCTCCTGGGATTTGTGACTTGTTTACAAAGGCCTTCCCCACCCCAATATTGTAAAAACATCCTCCTATATTTCCCTTTTTAAGTTTTAAAGGTTTACTTCTTATATTCAATTTCTTAATCCACGTGGAGTTCATGTTTGTGTGGGGTGTGAGATGAGATCACACTTTCATTTTTAAAATCAGTATTGCATTGTCTCAACACCACTCTTTGCAAAGTTCAACCTTCCACTCTTGGTTTGGGACTCCACCTGGATAATAAATGTCCTTATAGCCACATGGGCCTGTCTGGGTGCCTCTATCCTGCTCCACGAGTCTACTTGTCCTTCCCTGTGTCCATAGTGCCTTGTCTTAATTGCTCCACTGCATTGTTCCAAGCTGGTATTTTGGCCCCAAAGAGAAATGAGGGCACCCAAAGCGCAATTATCCCTCCCTCTGGAAAGCCTACCCATTTCTTTCCCATCCAGGCTTTGTTTTATCCTAACGAGTCATAGAACGACTATTCACACTCTACAGATGAGGACACTGAGGTTTGGAGAATTGAGCTAATTCACCCAGTTCTTGCAGGACGCCAGAGGCAGAGTCCAAGTGGGGCCCAGACTCCTGGCCCTGCCCAGGGCTTCTCCTAGCTCATCGCCCACCCTCCCCCCAACCCTGTAGCCCCCATGATGTGCAGCCTTTCAGATCCCTGAGCTCTGCCCCCACTTCCTTCCAGTGTCAGTGTCATTGTGTCGAGGGAAAGTGATGCCCTGTCTCTGTGAGCCACCCCCCTTTTGTTGGTCACTCTAGGTGTGATCAAACCTACACAATACAAGCCCGTGCCCGATGAAGAACCAAATGCAACAGATGTAGAGGAAACGCTGGAGCGGGTGAAGAACAACGACCCGAAGCTTGAAGAGGTCAACCTCAACAACATCCGGGTGAGGCCCTGCTCAGCCCGCTTCCCCTGGGGTGGGGGAAAGCCCTGTGTCATGCCACCGAGACCCAGAGGCCCGCGCCTGGCTATGCAGAGACAACAGTGTCCTGCTTGGACTCTGGGTGCTTCTGAATCAGAAATAGAAACAAAACCTTTCGGAGGGAGGACAGTGTAAAACAGCACAGCCCACGGTCCCGGTTTCTTTCTGGGACTGACGTCAGACCCAGATGTTCCCCACAGGCCAGCCCAGCTTCGACTCTGGAAACCTGCCACCTTATTCAAAACACTGAGAGCATCTCCGAGATAAAATTGTGAGTCAGACGCATATGGCTACACCGGATCTCAAGGCTGGAAAAGCCCAGCGCCCACCAGGCTCATGGGGTAACCCAAGCCCAGGGAGAGGCCTAGCCCTGAACCATATTCAGCCTCAATCTGAAACCCTAGAGGGGAGCTGTCGACCAAAGGTCCCAAGACATATTCCACGATATCAGCCCACATCTCTCTGGATGTTTCTCGTGTGCCCACCAAAGGCAGAGGAGGGATGGACAGAGAGGCAGTCCTTCCCTGGACAGGCCACAGAAGGAATTCAGAAGCAGGCCCAGCTGCCTGCCCACCTGCTCAGCCCGGAGGCCAGAGGGATTAGTTCTCAAGGGAGGGGGCGGTAGGTGGGGTAAGTTAAGAAGTGGGCCCCTCACTCCCAGCTCTCCTTTCCTTTCTTCTCCACTTTCTTTTAAGTGGCTGCCAGTCTCACGGCACTATCAGATTGGAAACCTGTGCCTGCGGTGATCTCCCCCACCTGGCCTCCCATGCTCTGCTCCCACGGGGGCTAAAGTGACGCTCTGAAATGCAAGATCCATTCAGACAGCCAGGTTCTCTCTTGGGTGCCTCCACTGTCTGCCATGTGTGCAGTGGGAGACACTGGCACAATTCAGAACTGTGTACCCTGGCAGCACACACTGGCTTGGGGAGGCATGGGGGTGTGGAACCACGCCATGGCCCTGCCCCTTCACCGTGGGGCCTCAGGTGAGGGCACAGCCCTCTCCAGGCCTCAGTTTCCCCTCTGCACATGAAGCATTTGGACTAGATCAGTGGTTTTCACTTGAGAAGATTAAAAAAAAAGTCAATGCCCAGTCCCTCTCCCCCAGAGGTTCTGATTTTATTGGTCCGGGGCAGGCCTGAGCATCAGCATTTTGTGAAAGTTCCTCAGGAGCCTCCTATATGTGGCGGGGCTGAGACCCTCTGGGACAGATGTCTCTTAAAGATCATCCCAACTTAGTTTTCCAGAAGCAAACCCAGAGAGAGGAAGAGACTTCCCCAGAGTCACACAGTGAGTCAGGAACATTGCCAAGGGCTGGGGTGGAGCCAGGCCCCTGCCCATTCCCCCACCCAGGCCTGAGCTCTCGGCATGCTTCTCTGCCTCCTTTGCCTTAATGTCTTCCTTCTCCTCCGGTCTCTGCATGTACAGAGAGAAAGTTGCAGGTCCCATCTGAAATTTTTAGGGAGGATTTTCTCAATCTGTTTACCAAAAGCCATTTAGGGCAAAGGAGGAAGCCTTTGTCCATCCAGCTTTTTGGTCAGAGACTTGCTGGGAATCAGGTTGCATATGTGAGAGAGTTACTGCCCCATCTGTCTGCCCTACCTGCCCCTGGCAGGCGCTGCTGGTCACTGCTTGCCTTTCTCTCTGCAGAATATCCCCATACCCACTCTCAAGGCATACGCAGAAGCCCTGAAAGAGAACTCATACGTGAAGAAGTTCAGCATCGTGGGGACAAGGAGCAATGACCCCGTGGCGTTTGTATGTACCTGTCTGTTCTGCTGCATTGAGAGTAGGAAGCATAGAGACAGAAAGGTTCACATTGTGGCCTCAGGACTGGCCATGTGCCACTGATGAGGAACCCAGTGTGGTGTGGTGTGGTGTGTTGTGGTGTGTGGAGAAAGGCACTGGTCCAGGAACCAGGAGAGGATGTGGACAGAATGGCCATTACCCAGGCACCATCTGTACATTATCTTAGTTAATCTCCACAACCACCCCTTATCCCAGAGGTGCAGGGCTCCCCACTTTGCAGATGAAGAACCCAGAGCACAGGGAGCTCAGGCAACTTGCTTTGTCCAAAGTTGCAAAGCGAGTGAGAGGTGAAGCTGAGATTTAAATGCAAGTCACATGGACACTATGCCAGTCTCTCTCCACACAACATGTCATGTTTGGACAAGAGCCTGTCTCTCCTTGGTCCTGTTTCTTCATATCTAAAAATTATTATTTTTATCAGTGGTTCCCAACAACCAATTGTATTTGTTTTTACCTATGTCTTAAAGACATTGCTAATTAAATTAAATTGTACTTATTATAAATTAGCCATCAATTCTTTTTTTTTCAAGCATTCAACACGTATTTATTGAGTCTCTCTGTGTCCAGGGCAGAATTAGGCTCTGAGAATACAACTGTGACCAAGACAATCACAGCTCACCCTTTCATTAACAAAACAGTTCAGCCATGCAGACAGCTGACAGATAACAGTACAATGTGATTAGTACAACACCAATAGCAGGTAAAAGGTGCAGGAATTAGCTTACCAGGCATGGTAATTAACCATTTAGCAGAAATCAGTTTGTTGATATCCATAAAATAACTTGCAGGGATCTCAACTGGGAATGCATTGAATCTATATCAAAATGGGAAGAACTATTACCTTCACAATGTTGGACATGAACATGAGATATATCTCCATTTATTTAGTTCTTTGATTTTGTACATCAGAGTTTTGTAGTTTTGTTTATATAGATCTTGTACATACTTTGTTAGCTTTATACCTAAGTATTTCATTGTTTGGAGTGCTAATGTAAATGGTATTGTGTTTTTAATTTCAAATTCCACTTTTTCATTACTGACATACAGGAAAGTGATAGACTTTAGTGTATTAACCTTGTATCCTGCGACCTTGCTGTAACTGCTTTTTTTTTTAACATTTTTTATTGATTTATAATCATTTTACAATGTTGTGTCAAATTCCAGTGTTCAGCACAATTTTTCAGTCATTCATGGACATATACACACTCATTGTCACATTTTTTTCTCTGTGATTTATCATAACATTTTGTGTATATTTCCCTGTGCTATACAGTATAATCTTGTTTATCTATTCTACAATTTTGAAATCCCAGTCTATCCCTTCCCATGTAACTGCTTTTTAGTTCCAGGACTTTTCTTTGTCAGTTCTTTTGTATTTTCTACATAGACAATGATGTCATTTGCAAACAAAGACAGTTTTGTTTCTTCCTTCCCAATTTGTACACCTTTTGTTTCCTTTTCTTGCCTTATTGCATTAGCTATAACTTCTATTACAGTATTTTGAAAAGGAGTGCTGAGAGGGGACATTCTTGCCTTGCACCTGACCTTAGTAATAGTTTCAAGTTTCTCACTGCTAAGTATGATGTTAACTGTAGATTTTTTTGGTAGATACTCTTTATCAATTTAAGGAGGTTGCCCTCTATTCCTAGTTTACTGAGAGTTTTTATCATGCATGGATGTTGGATTTTGTCAATTTTTTTTGCATCTATTGATATGATTTTTCTTTTTTAGCTTGTTGACTGATGGAATATATTAATTGATTTTCCAATGTTGAACCAGCCTTGCATACCTGGGGTAAATCCCACTTAGTCATAGTTCAAAATACTTTATAATTTATCTTGAGATTTCTTCTTTGACCCATGTGTTATTTAGAAGTGTGTTGTTTAACCTCCATGTATTTGAGAGTTTTCCAGTTATCTTTCTGTTATTGACATCTAGTTTGATTCCAGTGTGGTCTGAGAGCACACATTGTTTGATTTCTTTTCTTTTATATTTGTTACGGTGTGTTTTATGGCCCAGAATGTGGCCTATCTAGGTGAGTGTTCCATGTGTGCATGAGAAGATTATGTGTATTCTGCTGTTGTTGGGTGAGATAGTTTATAGATGTCAATTTTATCCAGTTGATTGATGGTGTTGTTGAGTTCAGTTATGTCCTTTATGATCTTTGACCTGCTGGATCTGTCCATATCTGATAGAGGGTGTTGAAGTCTCCAACTATGATAGTGGATTCATCTATCTCTCTTTGTAATTCTATTAGTTTTTGCCTCACTTGGTTTGATGTTCTGTTGTTAGGCACATACTCATTAAGGATTGTTATGTCTTCTTGGAGAATTGGCCCCTTTATTATTCTATACTCTCCTTTTTCATCTCTAATAACTTTCCTTGCTTTGAAGTCCACTTATAGCAATCAATTATCTTCTGATCTTTGAAATGGGTAGGACGATTTCCTTTGATGTTTTTGAAATGATAGAAATAATTCATAGTCTCTTACTGCTGCCAGTGGAGAACCTCTGGATAGATGTCCTCTGGCCTCAGGACATCTCCAGTGGATCCTGAGTTTGCCCATGGAGACAGAGCTGGCAAAGCCATGTGCCCTGTCCACTGCTATGTTGTAGATCAGAAACCCAAGGCCATCCTGTCTGGCACTCCACTCAGCTCCACAGATATTTATGGGACATTGACCCTGTGCCAGACCAACAGCTGATGTCAGCCTGTTCACACCGGGATACCCATTTTTGAGGATGTAAATGCTTCTGGGCCAATTGGTAAATAGGCTACCAGAGCTCTGTTAGTGCCCCCACTGCCTGCCCCAGCTCTTCTGCCCGTTCCAAAGAGTTGACAACTGGCATAACTCAGGTACCTCTGGGACCTGCTCAGCCACCAGCATGTCCACTGGGATCAGCCTGGTCCACTTACCTACTATTGTTAAATATTTTAATATCAGGCCAGGCCTCTCCTGGGGAGCAAGAAGGATGCTGTAGAGAGGGCACAGACTGGGTCCCTCTCCTCAGGGGCTCCAGTCTACTCAGGGTCACAGAGTAAGCAGACATCCCATCCTGGGGCGCAGGGAAACAGGAAGAGCTGAGGATCTGAGCTCGGAAGGCATTCTGGGAGCTGAGCCTTGTGAAGGGTTTCAGCAAGCAGGACTGGTGGGAGGGGCATTCCTGGATCAGATCCTCATTTCAGACAACCTCTGATCATACATCCTGGTCTATCAGCTGCTGGTGTCTCCTTTCCTCCATGACACATCGTCTCCACCACATACTAATTACCTCATCTCCTTCAGAGGCTCTAATTGTCATCTACACCCCCCTGGCTAAAGTCCTCAAAAACGTGTGGGGACGACCTGATCTCCTCTCCTCCAGTTTGTCCTGGTCACTTGCCCAGTGGGGTGGCTTCCCAGGCTCCCTTCTGTGCTGCTCAAAGAGAATGACAACTCCATGGAATTCCAACAGGGAAATAGAAGAGACAAGTGGAGAATCTATAGCAAGGTTGGGACTCCACTAGTCACTTGGTGAACAGTGACTGAGGACCTACTACGTGCTGAGCACTGTGTGGGCACTGAGGGCACCATGGGATGAACAAGGTGCATCATCAGGCCACCAAAAGTATATAGTCTAATGATTGAGAAAACACCAGTATAAAAACAACTGTAAATGGAGGAATACAAGTTCCATGAGGAAGGTTATGGGTAAGGTCTGTGAGGTTCAAGAGGGCAGGCACAGCTAGCTGGGGATGTCAGCAAAGGTCTTGGAGAAAGGAGCATTGAGAATGGCCTTGAAGGACGGACAAGGTTTGGAAAAGAGAAGGAGAAGGGAAAGGGCTTTCCAGAGGGTAGGGAAGGATGAGCAAAGGCGGGTGGAGGGAAAGCCCTGGCCGTGCCTGGGAACTGAGGGTAGCCCTATTGAAAGTGGGTAGCCAGATTTGAGGCTGAATGGGGTGGGGGAACCAGGTGATGGAGGCTTCCAATGCAGGCTAAGGAGCATGGAACTCTGCAGTGAGAGGTTCGGGGCTGTGGCAGGTGAGAATAGAGGAGGGACACAGAGTGCTGCTTGTTGAAGGAAGTTGTGGAGCTTGTCTTGCCTGGTCCCTGGTTCCATGTGCAAAGGACTCTTGCTCCCAGCAAGGCTCCCTCAGTGTTTTAGGTTCTGCCCACAGGGGCTCCAGCCTTGCTCCGGGACACTCATGGGTACCCTCCCTTTCCTCCTATGGTTCAAGGCCCTTGCTGAGATGCTCAAGGTGAATAAGGTGTTGAAGACGCTGAACGTGGAATCCAACTTCATTTCTGGAGCCGGGATCCTGCGCCTGGTGGAAGCTCTTCCATACAACACTTCTCTGGTGGAACTGAAGATCGATAACCAGGTAAGATGGGCAAGGGTCCCCTCGTGTCCTTTACATGACACTCACCGTTCTGCACTTTCCCACTTGCCACCACATGGAGCAGATGCTGCTGTTTATAAAGCGCCACAGCCCAGCTTTAGGGGACTTCCATGATCGACCAGTCCACACCCTGCACCATGCTTGCCTGCCTTCTTCATCATTCCCATCAAGTGCTCCCCAGCTTCTGCTTGTGTACCCCTAGTGATGGGGAGCTCACTCCTTACCAAGGTCACCCCTTCCATCCTCAGTGAGAATATCCTTCCTTATATCCAGAAGAAACCAGCTCCCTATAAGTCCTATTTGTTGGGATTAATTCTGTTCTCCCCTGCACACAGGACACATCGGGTGCACAGATCATATAAACCACTGGAGTCTTCCACACTAAGTAAATATTCCCATTTTCATCAGTCACGCCCCACTCAATGGGCTTTTTTTTTTTTCCCCAAAGGGCTTTTGAGTGTCCTTATCATCAGGGTTATTTTCTGGGCAAATTCTAGTTTGTCTTTATTCTTACAGGGTTATTGTGTCTCTATAACTTCTGTGGTTCAGTCATTTATTTTCAGGAACACTCTTTCAGTTCTGACTGAGATGATGCTAATAACAGTACCTTGTATGTTGCATGTGTTGAGGGTCTCCTGTGGGCCAGGCTCTGTGCTGTGCACCTTACACGTCAACTCTAATCTTCCCAACGACCCTGCAGGATGTGGGTGTTATCAGTCTCATTTTGCAGAAGAGAAAACAGCTCAGAGAAGCTAAAGGCAAGCAGCTTTCTTAGGGCCGCTGAGTGAGCACTTCCAGAAGCAGGACTTGGATTCAGGTCTCTGACTCTAAAGCCCACACTCCTGCCACTACACCATGTCGCTTCCAGGTCTAAAATGCTGTCTTCTTTATGGTTTATGGATCAGGAACTTGGGTGTTTTCTTTTTTATACATGAAAATGTTTCCTGAATGATCATATATATATGTGTATACGGAAAAAATTAGACAGAAATGTAACAAAGTTGTAAACACTGATTGCCCCTGAATGAGATTATCTCTACTTTTTATCCTTATTGAAAAATACTACAGACACACAGAAAAGTGCATAGAAGTTAAATGAACAGCTTAATGAATCATAACAGGCATGTAACCCCTGTCAAGAATAGAGCATCTCTAGCCTCCAGAAGACTTTGACAGTCCTTTCTCAATCATGACCCCTACAAAACTATTCACAGTTTGCTCCCTACTTGCTTTCACACGTCCCTGTCTTAGCTCTTGCTTTTCCCTTCCCTGGAATGTCCTCCTCTGCCCCTGCCCTTCTCTGCCTAGAGAAATCCTCATCTTCCTTCTTGATTCAGTCGAAGCCTCTCCTTCTCCCAGTGGTGTTCAATAGCCAGTTTGAATCGCTTGCCAGAGCTGACTGTGGGTGCCTCTTCTCAACTTTCCTTCAGGGATGGCACTATGGTACCTTGAAGTCACCCCTAGTGGAAGTATTTATGTTATGGAAATTGAAAAAACAACCTTTTCTTTTTCCCCCCCAGGAGCCAGCATATCACTCCCTTCTCCCTTTAGTCTGCTATTGGGCCTCTAAGCCTCCCCCTAGAGAGAGTTGAGGGCTCCTTCCCTGTGTTCTCCTAGCACCTTTGCTTTCCTGTGAGCTTCTCAGAAGCTGGTGCTATGTTTGAGTCATCTCTGTATCCCAATACCCAGCTCAGAACTTGACCCTGCAGTGGTACTTGGTAAGCAGGCCTGCCCTGGATAGTTGTGCATGTTGTTCACTGCACAATGAGATGACAGGGAGCAATATCCAATGCATATTCTACTCTCCAAGCCTTGGTGTGGGGATTTGTTCACCCAGAGAAGGCACTTTTTTCTAGTTCCTAGAAAGAGGCCACATGAGCCTGCAGCAGTCCTGTCATGTGAACTTGCTGCATCGAATTCCTTCGATCTCTCACATGCCAGCAGCCTGCTGCTGCATCACCCATTCCCAGCCTCCATCACTCCCACCCTTTCTTCCATTGCTGACCCTGCTGTATTGCAGGCAGCAGGGACAGATCAGATGGAACAAAGGCATGTAGCAGGCTTGGCAGCAGTGCTGGGTCAGACCCTGGGATCAGCTACTCATGTGACTCCAGGCCTAGCCAGGCAGGGAGTCAGGGTCTACCCAACATCAGCTGAAACCTGATTCCTGGAGCAGAATGTTGGCCAGAGATGACCCTGGCCTCAGGTCACTGTGGTGGCAGCTGGCAGGGAGCGAGCTGCCTACCTTCCCTCTCACTACTGTCCCCCCAGAGCCCAGAGAGAGAGAGCCAATGCTGACCATCACTCTCACCCTGGCTGAACACCCTGGTGTGAGAACATTCATTTCGTCGAGCCTCAGTTTCCTCACTTGTAAAATGGGGATAATAAGAATTTCTACTTCTAAGGAGATAACAGATGCGAACTATGAAGCTGTTCACTTTTATAATTACTCTGAAGGTGACCTAGGGAGTTCACATGTTATTCTAAGAGTTCATTTACTGAGCAGGTGCCATATATCCATTATCTCATTTAATGCTCACAAAGACTTTTTGAGTGGGTGTCACAGTCCACCCCAGCATTGTAGAGGAGGAAACTGAGGCCCAGGCAAGCTATGTAACCTGCCCAAGGTCACACAGCAAGTGAGTGACAGAGGCAAGATTCAAACCCAGGTCTGTGTGACTCTAAAGTCCATGAGCTGTGCCTGTCTGGGCCCTTGAACCCTACTGTAGTTTTGTGTGGGCCTTGGCTTTTCTCAGCTGTCCTTTTCCCTTGTTGCCAGGCTGGAGCAGTAGTTACCACCTGCCCCAACCCCATCCCAGGAGCATCTTTTTTTTCATTCATCTCAGTGTTAGATGATGCCCGCTATAGCCGAGGGTTATGCTGGGCTCTGTGTGTGAATGAGGCTCTGGCTCTGGCTCAGCCCTCTCAGGATTCCACGCTGGCTGAGAAGACAGACAAGTGTACAGTTGACCGTCCAACCAGGTGCTCCAGCAAGCCACAGACAGTGGGTCACTGCAGGAGGAAATCTCATTCAGGAGCAGGCATCAGGGAGGGCTTCTTGGAGGAGGTGGAATTTGAGATAAGCCCGTAGAGTAGACAGTATCTCTGAGGGTGAAATAGAGGCTGTGGCATCCCTGGTGCAGGGAACCACATGAACAAAGAGAAGGGGAGGGGAAACATGGAACCCATCCAAACTAGACTACCGGGAGTCCCGGAGGAAAGCCAGAGAGGAAGTGGGATTCCAAAGGGCTGTGAATGGGTAGTTGGAGGGAGAGTGGTCTGTGGGCTGCTGTCGGCCCCAGTCAGAGTTGCGCTCTGCAAAGATGGTGCCTGGCTGGATGGGAGAGGATTGCGGGTGGGAAGAGGGCATCGGGGCCTAGGAGACCAGAGGGGGCTCTGACCACCAGATGTGGGGCCTGTGGGGAGGTGTTCCTGGGGGTCTGGCAGGGGATGGGGAGAGAGGGCTGGGGCCAGTCTCGGGGAGGGGCCCTGCTGGCCTGGCTTGGGGAAGGCCACCCACGCCTCTCACAGTGTCCCCAGAGGCTGGGCCCCAGCACGGGGCTGTGCGGGGTGTGGCAAAGAGGAGGTGGTGAGTGGTGTTGGATTTATTCCTCGTTCTTGGTTAGTCCCTGAGAGGCCACAACTCTCTCCTCAGCCCTTGTGCCTGTAACCTGTGTCAGAGTCTCTGACCTTTCTCCTTATACGGCCAAAGAAAGGGACCTGGGGAGTTCTGCCCTGGGTGACACAGAGCCTTGCAGGCTGGCTCAGGACACAGATTCAGGAATAGGACTCTGGGGCTGTTTGTTTACTCAGCCAGGCCTTCTTTACCTCCGTGCAATGTTCTTTCGCCCCTGAAGTTGCCCTGGGACGGCAGAGAGGCTGGGGAGGGAGTGGAGGGGGGCCTGAGCCACAGCTGGGGGCACTGAGAAATGTCTAGTCCAACCCTCCTTTCACAGATAGGGAAATCAGGAGCAGAGAAGGGATGGAGCATGACAAGGTTGCGGGTCAAGTTAGTGTCAGAGCTGAGCTGGAACTGAGGCATCCTGGTTCCAGACAGGCTTCATTTGCAGATGGACAGGAGAGACCCTCTCAGCCCCCAGGACACAGGCAGGACACACCCACCCCAAGTCAGCCCCATCCAAACAGTGGTTCTCTGCCCCTCCTGATTCACCCACCCCTCCCCACCACAGAGCTCCCTCCAGGGGACCCTCAGGCCCTCGGGCTACAGGGCACTCAACCTGCCCCTCAGCACAGATGAGGCCTGAAAACAGGACCCCTCCCCAAGTGAAGACACGTGCAACATCTGAGGGGAACTGGCCGGATTTCTCACATTTTGTTCCCATATTTGACAGTGAAGATGTGCTTAGTACTTTTGAAAGAAAATAAAGGAAGTGTAGATTGTATTTCTTCTTTTCCAGATTGGATTATTGTCCTAGTGGAAATAAATTTAGAAAGAGAACAAAAGCTATGCTGGAATAGGATCCTGAAGGTTTTCACTCATGGTGACACCCCTTAATTTTAGATCCCACACTCATGGCAGCTGGCTAACTGGTTTTTAAATGAGGCTGAATGTGGCTGCTGGTTTTGCAAGATAGAAGAAAACACACTTGAAAACCAAGAGAACAAGACCAATTGTGTTCTCTGTTTTGTTCCTTTTACTTTTAGCTTCTAAGCAGCAGCTCTTATCTGCACATGATTTTTGTTTCTGTAGTCTCATTTTGAATTGAAGTATTTCAGACTGGAAATATTCAGCCTCCCAAGAGGACGGGTATGTATCACTATCCCTCTAAATATCAATTATGTTCCTTTACTGACCTCACTTCTCAGAGAAAGATGAGATAAAGTCAGTGGAAATGACGTAGAGAAAACCTTTTCCCTACGCGGATCAGAATGAAATCAGAATAAAGATTTATGATAGTGACCATCTTGCACCATGTCAGGTCCCCACTGGAGGCTGTACTCTGTTCTGAAAAGCCAGGAGC